TTTACGTATATGGTCTGGGGCAGCTTCTGCGCAAAGCCTAAAATGTTTCCCATTGGCCCTTTATATAGAGTGTTGGCCTGACTTCCTTTCAACACGCCTGACCTCGTTCAAGCACCTTCATGTGTAACAGCCTATTTATTCCTCACGACAATCCTGTGACCGAGATGCTGTTATCCTCACCCTCATTTTACAGGGAAGGGAGCTGAGGCAAACAGAGGCAAGTGACTTGGCTAAGATCACTGAGCCTATAAGTGCAGAGCTGGGATTCCGGAGTCCCCATGCCTAACGACTACCTCGGATGGTGGGTTTCAAATCACACCTAGTGCCTGTTAGTAATGGTTCCAGTCACTTTAGTGGGTCGTGACTAGCATTTGAAAAGAACAGAGGAGGGGCGTCTGGGTGGCTCCGTCGGTTAGGCATCTGCCATCAGCTCAAGTCATGATCCTCGAGGCCCGAGATCGAATCCCACATGGGGCTCCCTGCTCAGCAGGGAGTCTGCTTCTCCCTCTGCCCCTCACCTGCTCGTGCGCTCTCTCTCTCACTCTCTCTCAAATAAATCTTAAAAAAAAAAAAAAAAAAAGAACAGAGGAAACTAAATAAAAAATAGTGTATTATCCTGTGAAAGCTGTTTCAGTGATATGCATATACATACACACACACATGTGCGTCTCAGGGGGTGATGTACGATGGGATTCTCACGCAAGTCAGCGGTCCAAGAGATCTGGCTGAACGAGCAAAGCAAGGTTCACAAGAACGGGACGGTGTGCTTCTGTGTGTAAGAAGGGAGAGTGTGCACCCGCATGTGCACACGCAGGCTGTCACGTCTAGCTGGCTCCAAGCTCAGACAACAAGGGAGGCCTGTCATGCACACAGTACGGCGGTTCCCCACCCAGGTGATTCCGTCCCCCAGGCGACACCTGGCCATCTCCGGCGATCGCCATGGTTGTCCCACCTGGAGAAGGGGTGTTGCCGGCAACAAATGGCTGGAGGCTTAGGGATGCTGCTCAGTGTGCCACCGTGCTCAGGACAGTACCCCACAATGGAAAATGACTCAATCCCAAGTGTCCCTAGTGCCTGTGCCATGAGGACACAGTGGGGCTCCACAGAGAAATCGACAGTGGTGGGAGTCTATGGGGAAAGGGCCAGAAATTCCACAGAAAGGAAGACTCGCTTTCACTGTATGCCCTTTTTTCTTTTTAAACCGAATTTTTTTTTTTAATTTTATTTATTTATTTGAGAGAGAGAGAATGAGGTGGTTCCATGGTGTAATGGTGAGCACTCTGGACTCTGAGAGAGAGAGAATGAGAGATAGAGAGCACGAGAGGGAAGTGGGTCAGAGGGAGAAGCAGACTCCCTGCTGAGCAGGGAGCCCGATGCGGGACTCGATCCCAGGACTCCAGGATCATGACCTGAGCCGAAGGCAGTCGCTTAACCAACTGAGCCACCCAGGCGCCCTTAAACCGAATTTTTAAAACCATAGCTGGGTAACGCTCTTGAATCACGACAAAGTGTGTGTGTGTGTGTGTGTGTGTGTGTGTGTGTGTGTGTGTGTTAAGCCTACCATAAGCAACACACAGCAGGCCTTGAGCTTCCTGAGCAGGATGGTCAGTGTTCCCTCTCTGAAAAGACAGTCAGAGTCCCATGAAGGGACAATTTCGAGAGCCAGGATATTGATGACAAAATCCATCCCTGGAGTGTGAGCCCCGAGAGGGCACGGCCGTGGCTGCCTCACCTGTACCTCCCTGCAAAGGGCTGGGCACGAAGCAGGTGCCTGGGGAACGTGGGCTGAAGCAATGACCCACCTCCAGTCTGGGAGTGGCATGCACCCACACACGCGCATGCACGCGCGCACGCACACACACATTGGCACACTGCTGGTATTTCTGTGTGTCTGTATTCTTCGGTCAATCCAGTCACCCACTTGTCCACCTGTCCATCCATCATCCACCTGTCCATCCACCCACCCCCACCTCTCCATCCACTTGCTCACCCAACAAATATTCATCAAGAACTCCCGTCATGCACTGTCGTGGGCGCAGAGGCTGCAGGTGGCCAACGAGGTGTCTAGCCCCGCGCTGGCCTGCAACTGGGAATCAGCTCACGTGCACAGCTGACCTTTCTTCTCAAAGGCCATCCACAGTTTTGTTACTACCCGTACTGCTAATGACAGGTACCTGCTCACTGAATGCCCACTCTGTGCAGAGCCACCATTTCCCATAAACCATGTCTCAGAACGTTTGATGCTAAGCAGGGCTGGGATTCACGCTCAGGTCTGGCTTTCTCGAGACCTCAGGTGTTCCGGCCGCTAACCATTCAGGTTCGAATCCTGGCCCTACCAGCTAGGTAACCTTGGGCAAGCTACTTAATCTCTGTGCCTCTGTTTCCTCATCTGTAAAATGGGGAGAATATCTACGACCTACCTGATGGGAGGTTTCAACGAGACAATGCTTGTGAAGGGTTCTGGACAGCACTTAGAAATAACAGAAGTGTTACCATTCGTGAAGTTTTTACCGTAATGCCCTCTTCCTCATGCCTCTAAATCCCTGAAGCAAGCTCCAGATTATGCCCTGAATCCTCCAATGTCCCTTGTCATCGCTGTGACCACCCTGGTCTTTGAAGCCCTGTCATCTTGTCCCATGAGGATCTCGGGACTTCATTCTTGTTGCCCACCAAACCATTTTCCGATGGAAGCCAGAGGGATCACTGAAAATCATATAATCAGCCCATGCCACGGCCCAGCTGAAAGCTCTCCAGTGGTTTGGCCAGGTCCAAACTCACTGGCCCACGAGGCACTGCCAACCTCTCTGACCCGACCTCCCTCCGCTCCCCTTGGCCCATCTTCCATTCCTTGATATCCCAAGCTTGTCTTTGCCTCAGGGCCTTTGCACATGCTGTTGCCACCCACCCCCCCAACTTCTCTTCCTTCAGGCCTTGGCTTAAATACATCCCCCTCCCTGAGGTGGTTCCTGCCTACTCTCCCTAGAGTGGGTTCCTCCCGTTTCCTCATGGGGACCCTGATCCCTTCAATGCTTTCATCTTTCGGGCTGTTTCCCTGCAGCTGACCCACTCGGGCTGTTTCCCTGCAGCTGACCCACATCTCCTTCGAGAACATTCTCTCCCTTTGACCGCACTGTGGTGTACTCAGCACATGGTGAGCACAGGGCGGGCTCCCGTGCGTGTGCTTGGTTTCATCAATAAATGATTTCCTCCACTGATTTACCCAATTCTACAAACCCCCTGGTACAGCTGACCATGGGAGGCTCGGGGAGGAGAGGCCGCTTGCTGGAGGGACCCAGGCCAGCAGCATCTGACCCACTGTAGAGATGCTGCTTCCAACTGGAGCTGTTTAAAGGCCAGGCGGCTCCTGGCCTCTTGTCGCTCCCCCGCCTCTGCTTCTTTCTCCTCCTGGGGGAGAGATGGCTTGAGGCCATCTCAGCCCCGAGTCCCTCTAGACTGTGATTCTGGACCTGATCCTGTTATACCCCACAACAATAATAATAACAACAAATAACAACAAATAATAAAAACAAATATTTCTTGAGGGCTTACTCTGTGCTAAGCATATGTTAACTCACTTACTCCTAATAGGCCTTTAAGAAACTATTATTCCCATTTTCCAGATGAGGTAATCAAGGTTCAACAGTTACGGGGACTTGCTCAGGGCAGCACAAGGCCAGGCACATACTAAGTGCTGTTCTTCCCCAAATAATCTGTTTAAGGAAAGAAGAAACTGGTCGCTTAAGGTCCCATGGCAAGTAGCAGAACCTGAGGGTGAAATCATGGCTGTTTAAGGCCAAAGCCCACGCTGCTTTCTGTCACCCTGACCTTGCTGGATGTCATTCCCTCCTCCACCTCTTACCAACCTCCTCTACCCATCCACCAGTCCTTTCTGAATGAGTACAACATCCCCCCTCCACAATAAAAGGGGGCCCTCTCTAAACTCTCATGTGCTTACGACTCATAGGAGACAAAGGCTAATTTTCCTAATATGTAAAGAGTTTCTACAAATCAACAAGAAAAGGACCAGTAACCCCAATTTTAAATCTGGCAAGGGGTATGGGCCAGCAATTCCAGAGAAAACACAAACAGCTCTCAATCTATGAAAACCTGCCCCACCTCATTCACAGTAAAAGAAATGCAAATTAAAACAAAATAAGGAGCCACTTTTCATCTGACCAGATTGGCTAAGTTCAATACGCTGCTGAGGTTGCAGAAGAACAAGCACAAGCAACAGACTGATGAAGGGCAAACCAACTGATACTCCACAGAGGGCAATCTGGCAGCATCTGTCAACACCCCAAGTGCAAATGGCCTCTGACGGACCCAGTGCTTTCTTCTTTGAGAACTGACCCTACATAATGACATATGTACAGTCATCCTTTGTGGCTTCGCTCATCGCAGCGAAAGATCAGAAGTGAGCTGACTGCCTGACAACAAGGACCGGGGAGATAAAGAACAGCGCATCCACACAGCCAGAGCACCGTGCGGTCCTATGGAAGAATGAAGTACCGTCTCCAAGATGAAACTTTCAGTGATCAAAGGTGCGAAACTGCCGAGTGCGCTATCGTGTCTGCAACCACAGGAGGGAAAGAATCCAGGTGCCATTCTCCTTGTCCGTGCGTGGGAAAGGCTGCAAGAAACTGCCCTTGGGAAAGCAGGGGGCTGTGGTTCCGGAGAAGGGGCTTTTCAGCGAGACCTTTGGTAGCTTTGGAGATATGAACCCTCTGAATGTACTGCTTATTCAGATATGAAAATGAGAACTCCCTGCCTGCTGTGTGCACCTCTGCCTAGAGTGTGGGCTCCCCCAGGGTTGCAGGGGGAGTCCATGACTGTCAGAAGACCCTCGGGAACTCTCTGGGGAGCGAAGGAGCACCCTTCCCAAGCCAGCAAGACAGAGAGACAGGCAGGGCAGCCAGAGCGGGGGAGGAGGGAGCGGGAAGAGGGGTCGCAGGGGCAAGGCTCGGTCTGAGCTGGGACAGAGGCTGCTGGGGTTCATCTACCTGGGGGGCCGGCGCTGGGGAAGCCTGGCTGTCGGGGGCCTGAGGGCCGAGGCCAGCTCCTTTGGCGATGGGGGTGCTCGGGGCTGGGTCTTGGGCGGGAGGCGGGGCGCTGACTATGACCGAGGCGGGCACGGAGAGGTGGGGGCCGTCTGCGGAGAGGGGCTGCTGGCTCCTCTCCTGAAATGGGCAGCCCGCACAGGGTCAGAAGGGCCACCCTGCGGTCCCACAGCCTCCCTACCCCGAGACCCCGGCCTCCCCAAGGCTCCGGAGAAGGGGGTGGTGGGAACCGGGCAGAGGGGCACTGAGAGGCTGGGCGCAGAGGCCAGGATGGCCGGGAGCCCCGGGGTCCAGGCACCAGGGAGGCCGCAACCCCAGCTCAGTCTGCCCGGGGCCCTGCCAGTCTTCCAGCTCCGCCTCGCCCACAGCCTCCCGCCCCGTCTGTCTGTCCGTCCATGTCTTGCCCACTCTCTCCGCAATTCTCACGCCCTCCAGCAGGAGGACGGACGGTCAGTCCATCAGCCAGTCGGGCCGCCTCCTTGTCTGTCTGTCAGTCCCTGTCACCAAGGGGGGACGCACGCCCCGGGAGCAGAGGTGCCACCTCTGAGACGCTCTCCCTAGCCCACCAGACCCTCCCCAGTCGCTGCCTCCACTGCAGTTTCAGCTCCAGCTCCTGGCCCCTCTCTGCAGCATACCCCCTGCCCCTGCCCTGGCCACCCCCTCCGTCCCCCCCCACATCCCCGCCTGCCCAGCCCCAGTTACCTGGGGCAGGAACATCTGCAGGGAGTCCTGAGTGAGGATGGCCGTGGTGGCGGCAGAGGGCGGCTGTCCCAGGACGATCTTCTCGGGGCTGGACGCCAGGCCTGGGCTGGGCTGGGGGGTGGTGGCCTGAGGCGGGGCGGCGGCCTGAGCAGTAGGGGCCTGTGGGGGCTGCTGCTGGGCCGGTGGCTGCTGGAGGCCCAAAGGCAGCGGGGTGCTGACCGCCGGTGGTGCCTGGGGGGCTGTCTGAACCGTGAGGACAGGCGTGGCCTCCCCCGTGGCAGCAGGGGTGGCTGGCTGCACCAGCCCATCGGGGGTGTTGAGCATGGCCACAGCGCTGGGGGGCAGAGTGACCCCCTGGAGGACGGTCGTGGCAGAGGGGCCAGTGGGTGCCGGCTGGCTCTGCGTGGGCAGGCTGCCCGCGGCCAGTGACACGGGCATCTGGAAGAGCGCCGGCTGGCCCACTTGGATGGGGGCGGCCGAGAGGATGTGGGCTGCGCTGTGGGCCCCAGAGTGGGGGGCCAGCACGGGGCCCAGGCTCAGTGGACCCGCCAGGTTCTGGTTGGTGAGGATGGGGTTTGCGATGAGCTGTCCGCCTGCGTGGGGGGCCGCGGCCGCCAGGATCTGCCCGCCGACGTTGGTGGGCAGGGCCGAGAGCGTCTGGGGGAGCTGGACGGCGGGTGTGCCCGGCAGCAGGAACTGGTTCTGGCCCGGCAGCATGTGCTGGGCGGGGATGACAATGCTGCTGCCTTGATTCAAGAGGTGGACGCTCATTGGCTTGCTCAGGGCCCCGGGGGGCTGGGGTGGGGCGGCCCCGGTTGTGGTGGCAGGAGGCTGCTTGAAGACATTCGCCTGCAGGGCAGGTGCGGGGAAGCCTGACAGCACCACGTTCTGGCCGGCCTTGCCCGCTGCCATGAAAGTCAGGTTCTGGGGGGCCTTGGTCTGCTGCGGGAGGCCCCCCGCCTCGCCCTGGATGGTGAGTGTGGTGCCTGCCGGGGCGAACGGCTTGGGTGTCAGCTGGTAGAGCTTGGGGGGCAGCACGCCGGCAGGCTTGGGCTGGATGGGTGTGGGCGTGCGATGCAGGATCACGTTGGGCGCCGGGACCAGCGGTGACGTGCCGAGGCCGGGGGCCACCGCCAGCGGTGGCCCTGAGGGCGCCCCACTGGCCGCTGCCGTGGCTGCGCCTGCCCCTCCAAACACCGAGTTCCCGTTGAGTGTGGTGGCCACGGCGGTGGGGAGGTTCTTCTGAATGACCAGGCCAGCCCCCTGGGGCGAGACGCCGGCGGACGCCAAGGTCACCGGCTCCGAGGGGCCGGCTGCCGAGGCCAGATAGCCGCTGACGGGCACCTGCTTGGCAAGGAGCTGGGAGGTGGGCGGGTTGAGTGCCATGACGGGCTGGCCCACCACCTGGATGGGTGCCAGGCCTAGCGTGGCCGCCGTGGCGCCCCCAGGGCTGCCGTTGGGCAGGCCCTGGAGGCCTGGGATGGGCTGCAGGGTCACATTGCCCAGGCCCACAGGCTGCAGGAAGGGCTGGACGCTCAGGGCTTTGTTGACCACGTCCTGGGGCGGCACCAGGGCCTGGTGGGTCAGCACGGTGGGCGGGGCCTGCAGCCCCAGCAGGTCGGTGCCACCTGGGAACAGGGCCTGGGGCCCAGCGGCCACAGCAGCAGCCCCTCCGGCACCCGCCGGGCCTGCTCCGCCATCTGCAGGCTGTAGGGTGGGCAGCTGGAAGGGGCCCAGGTCCAGCTCGGCCTCGGCCTCAAGTGTCTGTTCAGTGATGTTGGCCTCTTGGAGGCTCTGCTGGAGGATGTCGCAGGGCTGGTCGGCGCCCCCGCCGCCCCCGCCGCCGCCCCCCGCGGCAGGCGAACCCAGGATCGCATCCTCCAGGAAGTCGAGGTCCACGCTGGGGGCCGGCTGCGTGGGCTCTGGGCTCAAGTGGTTGCCAGAAGCTTCTTGCACATGGAGCTGGAGGCCGGGTAAGGTGGGAAGGGAAGAGTGAAGGTTAGCAAGGGGCTGGCTCAGGGCACAGCTGAAGCAAAGGGACCCTTGGTGCCAGAGCAGTACGGGCAGAGAGAATATTCCATCTGGAAGTGGCCGGACCTAGGTTCAAATCCCAGCTCCGCTTAGCCGTACAACCTGGGGCTTGTTCAGTCTGGCCTATTTCCCGGTCTGTACATGTCGGTAGAATGGAATAAAGACCATCCTTTAAAAAGCCATAAAAGCCCATAATACTTAATCTACAATTGCAAAGCTCAAAAGGGCCCTGAAAATGGCAAATGTCTTCATAAACTCTTTCGATAGCAAAACCTGACCAAAAGTGACGTGGAGCGCTTGGGGGGGAGGGCCATGATTTGTCCACGTAACGGGACTCTTCTTGACCACAGAAAGGTGTGTGAGCGTGCTACGTGACATTCTGCATCACCTTCCCAGCATCTGGAAAATTCCGAAATGTGAAACGCGCCTGGCCTCAAAGGTTTTGGATAAGAGACCACGGTTGTGTTAAAGACAGGAGCGGTGGGCGCCTGGGTGGCTCAGTTGGTTAAGCGACTGCCTTCGGCTCAGGTCATGATCCTGGAGTCCCGGGATTGAGTCCCGCATCGGGCTCCCTGCTCAGCAGGGAGTCTGCTTCTCCCTCTGATCCTCTTCCCTCTTGTGCTCTCTATCTCTCATTCTCTCTCTCTCTCAAATAAATAAATAAAATCTTTAAAAAAAAAAAAAAGACAGGAGCAGCTACCGCCCTGAACCTGATTTTGCGCAGGCGGCGCTGAGTCTGACACGTCTTCCCACGTTGCGTCCCACGCTGTCCCGGATTGTGATCCAGAATGAACACAATTGATAAACGTGTGATCATTTGAGCAAATACCACATGAGCGATAATTATGCTTAGAGCACGTAATCCCCACTGATATTTGACCAGATAATAGATCAAAATTTGGGAGTTTAAAAGATCTGGAGTTCGACCACACGGAGGGCTTACCATGGTACCTGGCACCTTAGCACGTGTGCGAGAAACATCACCTAACGCTATCATTATGCCGTCCATATTGTTGTCGGTAACAAGCTCAGTGAGGCAGGCACTGCCCCCCATCCTCCTTTCCCAGACGGAGAGAGGGGAGTGCTTGGGAGGAGGGGGCCCCTGCTTGGCCCCCAACCCAGAACCAGGCGGTTCTTGAGTTCTTAACTGCTAAATGGCCACGACCAAACCTGCCTCCTAGGACGGTCGTGACTTTCGCTGACCCCACATATGGGAGGCTTAGAACCTGACCAGGGACTTTATAGGTATTTATACTATGAAAGATGAATTATTCAGAATATATTATTATACTTGTTGTGGGCATTAAATAAAAGTGACTGAAAGGGGCTTGGCAGCATATAGTAAGTGTTCAGCAAATCATAGTTATAATGACCAGGAGGGAGGGGGGAGAAGAGATTGGGGGGAGGGAGAACGAGGAGGGAGGAGGGTTGGGGAGAGGCAGGGAGAAGCAGCAGAAGGGGAGGAAGAAGAGGGAAGGACAGCTGGCACAGTCAGGCATACAGTAGGTGCTCAATTAATGTCCACCACGTTCCCCACTCTGGGCTTGGCTCATCACCCCTGCCTTCGTTTTCCAGATGGAGACTGGAGTCTGTGTCAGTCGATCCCCTTCCCCAGGTCACACCCCACCATGATGGCTACACAGGGACAGGCCTCCAGGCGCCCACCCCCTCTGCTCCCGAGAAGAGTGTCCCCGGTGAACCCCAGCATCTGCCTCAACGCCCCAGACCGCTCTATAGCAACTGACCCCCAAGGCCCGGGACCCAGGACCCTCCCTCACCTCTTCTGAGGAGCCCATGGGCCAGGCCATCCCACTGTGGTCCCACCTCCGCCCCACACTGCTGTCAGTGACTGCCCTCCCCAACCCCCCAGCAAGGTGCCCCAGGGGGATGATCATGACCCCTTCCCTCTCGCTGTTAGGGCCTCCCTCCTGCTGGCCACCACCAGGGGCAACATGAGCCATGATTGAGAGCCGGGGGCCCTCCCTGAACCCCTGGGCCACTTACCCCAGGACCTTCATAGAAGGCACTTTGGGCCTCCCCGGGGTTATCCAGGAGGTCATCACCATCGAGCTGCAACAAGACCCGCCCCCACCCAAGGTCAAAGATCAGCCAGGCAGCGGGCAGGCCCTGCTCTAGAACAAAACCCAATTTAAAGTTACACTAGACCAAAGGACAAAGATGGGGTGGGAGGTGGGGGGTGCAAGGAGTACAGGAAACTCCATTTCCGGAAAAGAGGCACCAAAGAACGGGGCTTGGCAGCATGTTTAAAACCCAAGGTGTGCCCAGCACGGAGTCCGAGGCTCTCCCAACATGCCTGCCTGGAACCCTAGGATCCTGCCTCCATGCCTTTGCCCAAGCTGTGCCCCTGCCTTCCCCCTTCACCTCTCTGACAGCACATCCCTCAGGACTGGTCACGGTCACCGCCTCCTCCCAACAGCTGCCCGTCCCACCTGACTAAGCCACTCCTTTCTCTATGCAGCCCAAGTAGCTGGCACGCCCCACCATCCGGCCACCCAGTACACCCTGCCGAGGCCATCTCTGGGAGGCCAGGGACCTGTCCAACTCCCAGGGGCGTCTCTAGCGCCTAGAACAGGGCCTGGCATCCACACGAGTGCCTGCTGAATGTCTGTCCATAGCGGAGCCTTCCCGGTTTCTACCTGGACATCTTTCCAGAGCCCCAGCCTGGCACGGCCAACAGCCTTCCTTGTGGAGTCTGCCCCAAACTCCCAAGCTCTGGAGACACAACCCACTCAGCTGCTCAGGCCCAAATCCAGGAGCTAACCTGACACTCTCCTCCTCGACATCTACTCCACCAGCAGGTCTAGTTGACTCTGCCCCCCAAAGCCAGCGCCTGGCACCCCCTCCGCTGCCCATCCCACGGCCCTGGTCACCCTCAGCCCACTGCACTCGCCCCTGCTCCACAAATCATCTGTGCTTCTCCTTCCAAGATGTGGACCTCCGTTCCCCTCCCTGGGAGTGTGGGTTGGGTTGGTGACCTGCTTCTAATGAATATAAGGTGACAAAAGCGATGGTGTGTGACTTCAGAGACGAGATCATAAGAGGCCCCGAGCATCCTCCTGGCTCTCTCCCTTGGGTCACTCACTCTGGGGGAACCTGGCTGCCATGTTGTGAGGATGCTTAAGGATCTTACGGAGAGGCCGATGTGGTGAGGCCCTGAGGCCTCCAGCCCACAGCCGTGGGAATGAACCATCAGGGAAGCACATTCTCCAGCCCCAGACGAGCCCTTGGATGACGGCGGCCCCAGCCAACATCCTGACTGCAACCTCTGGAGAGACCCTGAGCCAGAAGCACCCAGCTAAGCTGCTCCCTGAGTCCCGACCCTCAGAAACTGTGAGAGCACTAACAAGTTGTTTTAAGTCACTAAGTGTTGGGACAATTTGTTACGCAGCCCTAGATAGCCGATGCGCTCCTCGTGGCTCAGCACTTCCACTCTCCCCCACTTTGTTCCAGGCCCTGCATGACCTGTGACTTTTGTCCACTCTGGTCTCACCACTACTAGTTTCCCCTTCCGTCCGGTCCCACCAGCCTTCTTTCCGTTCCTCGAACATAGCAAATTTTCCTGCATTTCTACCTGCCCTCCCCTGCCCAGAGCACCATGGGTGCCTCCCTCTGATCCTTCAAGGTCGCCTTCAAGGTCACCTTCCTGCCCACACTAGCTAAAGAAGCCACTGTCCCTGCCCCCCATTCATTTTGTTTTAAACCATTTTCGTTGTGCCGGGGACATTCTTGTTTCTTATCCTACACTGCAGGGTTCTGTCTGCCATCACCTTTAGCAGTTAGTACTTTGTTTACCAAGGAAATGTGTATGGCATGAGGGCAGGGATCTGTCATCTCTTCTGCTCTTGCCATAACCCCGGGGCCCAGCTCCCAGAATGCAAGAGGCAGATGTCTACTTAATCAGGGGCTCAGGTCTCTCAGCCCCCCACCCTGGGGAGGCCCCTGCCTGCCCCGGCACTCACCTTCTCGGATCCATGCAGGAAGTCATTGAGGGCCTGAGGGTCACTGGAAGACAGAAGGGGAGAGACACTGAGGAGGTGAGGGGCAGGGGAGGGGGGGACAGGGAGGGCAGAGGGAGTCTGTTACTCACCAAATCACGTCTAGTAAGCATCTCCCATCCTCATCATCCATCGCCACTGAACCAGGTGGGGCAGGAAGGGGGCAAGGGGGACAAGGTTAGACGTAGGCAGTGTGCCAGGACCCTCCCTTCCAGGACCCCTCCTTGGAACCAAGGTCTCTGGTAGGTCAGAGTTTCTGTTCCCTTGAGCCTATGGGTGTGGGTGGGGGTGGTGAGCAGCCAGAGACAGCTGCCTTTTCCTCCTCCCCCGACCTCTTCCCCCAGCATCTGATGCCCACAATGAGGACATCCACCAAGACTGAGTGAGCCCTGATCACGTGCAGGCCTGTGCTGAGTGCTTCACACACCCGTAACTCTTTTAATTCTCACGGCACCCCACAAGATGGGTCCTGCCACTCCCACCCGTGTTGCAGAGGAGTAAACAGGGGCCCAGAGCTCGTCATTCATTTCCCAGCCAGCAGGGGGCAGAGCCAGGCCTTGAACCCAGAGTCTGGCCCAGAGCCTGGGCTGCCCGGCCTCCCTGGGAAGGGGCCTGGCCCAGAGCGGGGTGTGACAGGGGTCTGCCCTGTGTGTGAACGGTCCTGAACTGTTCAGGTTCTTCTCTGAACAGTGCCTTGGAGAATCTGATGAAGGCAAAAGACCCTTCTGACAAAAACACGCAGGTGGGGCAAAACTGTGACACACACTTTCCCAAGGGCTGTGGGACACACACGTGCACACCCCGGGGCCTTGGGTCAACACGCCCAGCCTAGAACACGCCATGCAAAGCTGGCGGGAACACCCCCCTCCACACACACCAATGACTCTCCCTTCCAGCATTGGCCATGGGGACCATCCCTCGAGGTCCCTCCCAGGCGCTGGCTGCACTTGGCAGTGGCGACAATGGACTCTTGCCAGCTCCATATCCCGGGCCCACCTATGCTTCCTTCTTCCTGTGTCACCACGAGGTCAGTGGCCTACTAGCCCTGCCCTTTCCGACCAGCCCGGGGCAGGGGTTGGGTGAGAAGGGAAGGGGACAGAAAGGCAAGACCTGCAAAGAATCTGGAGAAAAGGGGAAAATGGGGAGAAGATCCCACCTGCAGTTGGCATGGAGGCAGGGGGATGGTCCAGATGACCCAGGGGGCCCAAGGCCGGAGGGGGGGGGCGGAAAGGTGTTGGCTAAGTCAGGCTCTGCCAAGAAGGAGTGTTCCTTCCTCTTCTGGGGGTCAGGGTGGGCCCAGGGAGGTGGAATGAGGGACAAGCGCCCCTCCAGGCACGAACTGGGACCCTTGGCCGGTTACCTGCGCTACAAACGAATCATGAAGGGAAGGAGGGGGTGTCCACTCCAGGTCTACGCGGGGCCCCCAGCTGGGGACTTGGGGAGTGTCCTTTCGGGGGCCAGCTGTGGAGAGAATAAGGGAGGCTGTAAGGAAGTCCGTGACAAGGAGAAGGATGGCGGAGGGAGGGAGTGGGGAGCCCAGGAGAGGGGTTGACCGGGCCACGTGTAAAGAGGTAAGAAAAGAAGGGGTCAAACACAAGTTTAAGAGCAGGTGAGACAACACTACACGTGATCCCATATGTGACAGGCACACACAGAGCACAGGGTAGGGCGCTACATAGCCACACGTACTACAGCAAGGTAGAACATCATATGATATAATTTATTGACACCTGGACCTCATAAAACACAGTCGATTCTCGTTATTTGAGGCACTTGCATTCTGCACAGCTGCCGTGAGCACGCGGTCGTGAATTCCGCGCCACCGATCCCGGGGCGGGTGGGGGGTGGGGGGGAGACACAGCGTGGCCTCCTGCGAGCCTTTGCTCACATTCTCATCAACCCATCAATACACAGCCTTAGTCTACTGGTGTTTCTGTTTAGAGACACCTAAGGTATATAAACTGTTGATTTGTTAACACCGAACCCACGGCTAACAGCTCTGTGCACTCGTGCCTGAAGGACGCTCATCTAACACACGCGTTCTCTCTGGAGGGCACATCCTGGCCTTCCTGCACTTGTGGACACCAGGCAGCACTTCAGTCCTACGCCGGGAGCCATTTTCAACAGCAAAACCACCCACAAAGAGCACAAAGATGCAAAAACCATGGCACTCAACAATATGGGAGCTGAACCAAGAAGGCAAAGCGTGGCCTTGTTCAACCTCAGCGGGCACAGACACTCGGGGCCACTCCGACTTTTCACAAGTCCCCTGGTGACCAGGGAAGTGCATCGGTATTGATCTGCGGGTTATACGTGCTCACGAGTAGGTAGCTTCACAAATATGGAATCGGCTGTAATGACCACGATGTTGGTGCCCACCCATCACTGGTTTTAAGCGCTCTACCGGTATGAACCATTTCACCTCTAGATCCCTGCGAGGCAGGCACTTTTATTAGCCCTGTTCTGTAGATGGGGAAACGGAGGCTCAGAATGGTGTGCAATATGCCCAAGAGCCCTCAACTGGTAAAGCGGCCAGGCTGGGGCTTGAGCCAAGGCAGACTCACTCAGAGTCCCCGCCCTTAACTGCTATCCCATGCACGTTCCTCTCATTCCTCTCATCATGCTGTTTCTCCTCTAAAATCTGAAGCAAATATGGCAAAAATGTCAAGATAAGATGAAGCTGGGTGGCAGCCTTTGTTATCATTTTAAGAATGCTTGGAATAGTTCAGATTCAAAAAAGCGAGAGGAATGGGAGCACCCAGTGGCTTCCCCTCTTGCTCAGCAGGCCCAGGCCTCAGAAAGATCTAGAAGCCATCTGTCACATGACCCAGGAACATGGGATCCTGTCCCAGCTAGATTCCGGGTGCACTGCCATGGCCTGGGGGTGTCCACGAGCACCCAAGGTGGCTTTGCCAGAGCAGCCAGATTTGTGTGGGGTCTTCCCTCCCCCCTGCGCTGAGTTTCAGGTCTGGCCCAAGCTCTGCAAACCTCAGGCCAGCAGAATTAGAGCCAGGAGCGGGTGCTTCCTGATCAGAACTCTCCAAATAGGGCCCGCGGGTGAATGTATGTCTCTGTGAGAATTTTTTTAATTTGTGTATGTGTGTGTGTTTTAAGGTTTATTTATTTATTTGAGCAGGGGAGGGGCAGAGGGAGAGAGAGTCTTAAGCCGACTCCATGCTGAGCGTGGAGCCTGACGTGGGGCTCAAGCTCACAACCCATGAGATTAGACCTGAGCCAAAACCAAGAGTCAGATGCTCAACCAACTGAGCCACCCAGGTGATCCCATTCGCGCATTTTCATTCCACCAGTAACAGCAGAGAAATGAAGGGGGGCTGGTTTTAGACGAGAGGAAAATGCTCTGCCTTGTGATGGGGTGCCTGTTTCGTGAGGGTTTAAAATGTCACAGCTCAGATTTGCACATGTAAGTTCAAAACATGTAAATTTGACCTTAAAAAGCTCTAAAAAAAACCCAAATCGTCACCATCAAGTGGTAGTGGGATGGGGGAGGGGGACGACAGGGTGTGGCAGGATGTTGATAACTGTTAAGGCTGAGTGAGGGGTACCTGGGGGCTTCACGGTACCATTCTCATCACTCTGTACATTCTGGAAAGTTTCCATAATAAAAAGAAAACGGTATGTCAGTGATCAGCAGGTCTGGTACCTCCGCCTCCCATGTCTCCTATCGGGTTGATGCCAAGAGGTCCAGCATGAAATGACAGGGGTCGGAGTCAGGGGTTCAGGTCCCTGCTCCACCATGTATGGGCTGGGTGAACCCAGGCAAGTGACTTCACCTCTCTGGGCCTCCGTGTGTTCACTGGTCAAATGGGTGGAATCACAGTCCGCACGTCTCATGTGGCGGTGGAGAGTCTCTTAGAACAGGGCCTGCGGTTTGTGCACAGTAAGTCCTGGCATCAATACTGGCCTTGATCCTGCTGTTTTGTGAGTTGGCCAACAAGAAAAGGGCAAAGGTGCAGCGGCCTCCAGCTTCCACGCTCTGCCTCCCTGACCCTGTCTCATCTCATCCCTGTCGTCTTCACCCTCATTCAAAGGACCTACCCTGGATCTAGGAGGTCAGAAATTGGGAGAGGGGCCAGAGTGGTTACATTTGGAATAAATGCTTCAGATTCCAGCGCAGCCAACAGCTCCGAGGTGGTGGGGCACCAGTGGCCCACCAAGTGCTCATAGCGGGCATCGGGTGCGCCTAGACTGATAAAGGTCCCTTGTGGGACGGCGGGGTGGTATGCTCTGCAGCTAGCCGCCCCAGGGCCCACCCCGGCCCTGCCACTTACTAGCTGTGTGCCTACAACAAGTTACTTAATGCCCCCACACCCGTGCCTCGGTTTCCCCACCTGGAAAATTCGGATAACGGTATGCGCCGCCCCCCCCCCACGGGATTGTTCCATAGGAACGCCTTTAATCCTCGCACGTAGTAAAGTATTTTGTGAGTGATGTATACTGCTGTAATAATTTCAACTGACGTTGTGAATAGGATCTCACGGGGCAACGTGAGATCAAAGCTTTCTGGCCCCAGCCCAGTCAGGCTGGAAAAAAGTCCCCAAGCTCTGGCTTGGCCACCTGCTGCCAGTTACCCCATGTCACCCTTGAGCACCTTTGGAAGGCTTTATATACCACCTGCTTCGGCTGTGGGTCGTGCACACGGTCCTACTTAAACCACCAGGCACCAAGGCTCCTCGAATCCTTCCAAGTCCGTTCTTACCCCCATTTCTCAGATGAGATAAGTGAGGCTGAACAGAATGGTTATGGAGAAGCCACGGGCCAAAGACAGCCAAGGAAACGTGCCTGCATGGGGCTAGCCAGCTATATTGCAGCCCTCAACCCAGCAGTCATAGGGAGACTTGAAGGACACAAATGAACCCACCAGCCGCTGAAAGACAGAATTTGAATACTGCCCGGGTATTTGACAATATTAAGAAATTGTGATTAAGATTCAAAGTGGATGGGGGCGCCTGGGTGGCTCAGTCGGTGGAGCGTCCAACTCTTGATCTCAGCTCAGGTCTTGATCTCAGGGTTGTGAGTTCAAGCCTTGCGTTGGACTCCACACTGAGCGCGGAGTCTACTTAAAAAAAATAACGTAAAAATAGTGTAATAATGGCATCATGGTGTTGTTTTTCTTTTTCTTTAGAGTCCTTACCCTTTAAAAACATACCCTGAAATATCTAGGGGTGAAATGGTAAAATGTCTGATTTCCCCCCAAAAGAACCTAGTTGTGGGTGTTCGGGGGGCATACAGACCTGTGCCGACCAATACGGCTGACCCCCAGCCACACGCGGCTATGTATAAATTCAGGTTAATTCAATGGAATTAGGACAGAAGACTTGAATAAGACATTTCTCCAAAGAAGATACACAGACGGCCACAGACACATGAAAAGATGCTCAACATCACTCATCGTTAGGGCAATGCAGTCGAGACCGGAGACACCAGCTCACACCCATTAGGATGGCTATTATCAAACACGACACAAAACAAAAAAACCCCCGAAAACAAGTATTGTTGAGGATGTGGAGACATTGGAACCCTCGTGCACTGCTGGTGGGAATGTAAAATGGTGCAGCTGCTGGAAAACAGTCTGGCAGTTCCTCAAAATGGTAAAAATAGCACTCTGCCATATGCTCCAGCAAATCCACTTCTGGGTATACCCCCCCCCGCCCCGCCAAGAACTGAAAAAGGAGGGTCTCGAACAGATCTCGGCACACCCAAAGTCACAGCAGCGTTATCCACAGTCGCCAAAAGGTGGAAACAGCCCACGCCGATGGATGAATGGAGATGCGGTGGCGACTTACAATGGGATATTATTCAGGAAGGACATGCGGACACAGGCTACAACCCGAATGACCCGGGAGGACATCGCGCTACGTGAAACGAGCCAGTTACAAAGAGACCCACACTACATGATCCAACATGTAACGTGCCCAGAGACAGAAAGTGGAATGGTGGCCGCCAGGGGCCGGGGAGAAGGGGGAATGGGGTGGTACTGTTTAGTGGGTGTGGACTTTCAGTTCTGCAGGATGAAAAGTTCTGGAGGTGGATGGGGACCGCGGTTGCACAACAGGGTGAGTGTCCCAGTGCCACTGAACTGCATGCTTAAAAATGGCTATAAGGTCCCAGGGGCGGGGGGGTGGGAGGGGGAGCCCGGCTGGCTCAGCTGGTGGAGTGTGGGACTCCTGATCACCGTGTCATGAGTTCAAGCCCCGCAATGGGCGGGGGGGGGCGTGGAGAGATGACTTAGATAAATCTTAAAAAAAAAAAAAAAATGGCTAAGGTGGTAAATTTTACGTTATGCATATTTTACCACGATAAAAAAAACCATGAAAATTTTAAAAAAGGACAATGAGGAGTATCAAAGATTTTTTTTTTAAATTCACATAAGAAAGTTCAATGACATGAAGGTTTTTCTCAATCCCGCTTGCCACGTTTCGAGTGCTCAACAGCCACACGTGGCTGGTAGCTACCGTGTGGGGCAGCGTGGACTGGGAACATTTCCATCGTTGCAGCAAGCTGGTCTGCAAGAGTGGCAGCAACTGAAAATGGATCAAGGTGGTTGATGACCGGGGTGGGGGGGTGGTCTGCGTTTGGCTGTTCTCTCTACTTGGTGCACGTTTGAAATTTTCCATAATGAAAAATGCTTACTTAAAAAAAAAAAAGACTTTTTAATACCAAGTATCATGTCTGATTGTTTATTGTCTGCTTTGTTC